TGTCGCTAGTTAGACAAAAAAAACTAAAATAAAACGTTTTGAAAGTTAAGAAACCAAATTGACACGAAAAAAAATTAAAGGACCAATATGAGCCCAAATTATAGTTAAGGGACCAAAATAGATATTTTGTCAAAAATATATTATGATATATCATACGTAGTTTTCAATTTTAACAATATATTATAATTCTTTTTAAAAGAATAATAATATATAATAATTATTTTTTTAAAAATAATAATATTTTGTTAATAAAATTTTCATTTTTTAAATATTTATTATTCTATAATAATAATAAATACATTATAATTCTGTTTTTAAAAATAATAATAATATAAATTTATGTTATGTTTTTGATAATATTATATTTTTAAAAATATATTATTCTATTTTTAACAATATATTATAATTTTGTTTTTAAAAATAATAATAAAATAAAATAAAATAATATAAAATAAATTATATTATTTATTTCTATTTGGAAAAAATAAAATTATGACAAAAAATTTCTAAACAAAATTAAAAACAAAATATTTTTAATTTTAATTTGTTATATAAAAAATAAAAACAATTTTTAAAATAATGTTCTAACAATTTTATCATACACTTAAAAACATATATTCTAACACTTTTTTGAAATGGATTTTCTAACATATTTTCTAACAAATAAAAGCATCACAAATTTTATCAAAAATATTTTCTAACATATTATACACAAATTAAACCATCACCAATTTTATCATACAAACTTCAATAAAAAAATAAAATCTACATTAACTCATGCAACCCAGTATAAAATAATAACAAAATTATTTTCATTTGTGTATCTTACAAAATGGGTTTGATGAAAATCTTAAAGATAAATCTGAGTCTAACAATAAATTTTAAAATAAATCTTAACAGATTTTGTTGGAGAGAATTTTTATATTAATTTTTGTTAAAGATGAGGGATTTGAGAGAATTTTTGATTTGTTGAAGATGAAGAGAAAGAGAACCGGAGCACCGAGAGGATTTGAGACATCTCTTTTGGTTCTTTCTAGAATGTGAAAAAAGGAGTTGGAGCGGTGGAAATATATAATAATGTTGTGATGTGAAATTCACTCAACAACGTTTAGAACGGTTAAATTTTATAAAGTGAAATCCACCACACAAGTGCTAAATTAGAAAAGTGAATTGCGACGTGAAATATATCTCACAACGTCTAATCAGAATATTCACCTTTCACTTGACGACTCAATAATTGACAATTTAAATTCGCCTCAATTTTTTTTTTTTTAAATTGTTGCAGCGTGTTTTCACTTCGTAACTTACGCTTCAAAATTTTTAAATTTTCCATCATCAATTGCGAGATAAAAAATGAAATAAAATATTTAAAATATTTTTACGTAGCGTGGAAACTAACACCTCGTAAATACATTTTATGAGGTGATTAACATTGGGCATTATCACCACCCTGTAGCTTTGAGGTTTTCTTGTAGTGAATTCATAGAAAAAACTTCAAACACATTCATTTTATTTGTTGATATAATACTCTAATCAGATTCTAATATACACTATTAATGAAATCACACAAGAAAGAATATATATATTAGATCATTTTATCAGAGAAATTTATTAAACTGAACTAATTACCAATAATTAGATTATCAATTATATATTTCTTCTCTTTGAAAATAACTGTCGTTTTAACAAATAAAATTTATTTTAAAATAAATCTTATTCTCACTTTTTAATGTAGAAATAATTGTCATTTTTTCTATTATGCCATTTAATTATTGTTGGTGAAATTTCTAAAATATATTCGAAAAGTTGTAATGGTTAAAAAATACCTTTTAGAAAAAATGTATAATGTTTTACAATTGAAACAATGTAAGCATTCATGAGCAAAATCTTTCAAAGAGTTATTTTCCTTCACCAAAAGACATAAGTTTCTCTATAAATAAAGACATTGGTTAGGTATTGAAAAGATATAAAAATAGTATATTTCAAGTGCCAAAAATCATATCTAAGTCACTCTTTTGTTTTTCTAGTGCACGAGAATAAATAAGAGAACTTTATTCTATAAAATATCGTTGATCGATATGCTTAATGTATCCTGAAGGGAATTCGCCGGTTAACTCATTTGCATCCAATTTGTCTAAATTAGTGAGGGCGAATCGAACATAAAACTTAGTGTAAACACACGCTTTAGAATGTATTTTGTGCAACTTTCATTGTATCGATTTCATCTTCTTCTTGTTCATGTTTTGCAACAGACCCCCAATACAAGATCTAACAATTATTACTCTCTATACTACTTTCAAAATATTTATAAAAAGATTAATTTACACTCGTTTTTATTAAATTTACACCCATTTAAATTTAATAAAAAAACAAGTGTATATTTATCAGGTGAAAAATGTCAATCGAGTTTACACCCATTTAAAAACAGGTGTAAATACATGCTATGTTACATCCATTTTTAATAGAAAATATGTGTAAATTCATGCCATGTTACATCTTTTTTAGTAGAAAATGAGTGTAAATACATGCTATGTTACACCATTTTTAATAGAAAGTTGGTGTAAATACGTTCTTAGTTAGACCTTATTTTCATAAAAAAACGAGTGTAAATATATTTTTAGTTACATCTTATTTTAATAAAAATTGGATGTAAATACGTTCTTAGTTACACCCTATTTTAATAAACATCGGATTTAAATACGTTCTTAATTACACCATATTTTAATAAAATTCAGGTGTAAATATATTTTTAATTACACCTTATTTTAATAAAAATCAAATGTAAATACATTCTTAATTACACCTTATTTTAATAAAAATCAAATATAAATATATATTAATTTACACCCCTTTTAAATATAATTTATACCCTATTTTATTATATTATATTTAATTCTATTTACATCCTATTTCAAATGATACATTATATCCTATTTTAATTATTACATTTCTTCATATTTCATATACTAATAAGAAATCATAATATTCAAGAAAATATTTCAAATACTAAAAAATCATATATAAAAATTATATTTTGTATATTAAGAAATCATAGTATTTTTCATATTTACTAAAAAAAATATATATATATATATATATAAAATCTTTTTTTTTTTTACCAAAAAGTATATACACTCACAGAATAATGATGATGAAAAAACAATATAAAAAGAGCACGACCTTGCAATCGACTTTTGAAAATTACAGTTCAGGAAATTTCTTGAATCTGCAGAAGTATATGTATTATGCTAATATGATTTCGGACTATAGGTACTTGTTTTAAGCTTGATCATCCTGTTGACAATCTCATCATATAGATTAAACCTTTTTCGAGGAAGTGAAGTATCTCACCGAAGGTTAATGCACTACCAACATAAACTTTTAACAAGTTTGTATCTAAGTTTGGCATGATTAATATTAGTTTAGGGTTGTTATTGTGATTATCAAATTAATTCACTGATTAGTTTAGTTAATTACATTAGTTTTGATTGGTTAAATTAGTTGGTCTGTTATTGGTAATTAGTTAGAATATCTAGCTTCTCATTGGTTGTTAAGAGATAAGTTGATAATTTTTCTCTTCCCTCCCATTGGTCTGTTATTGGCAATTAGTTAGAAGATCAATTTAATAGATTATATATTAAAAAAAAAGATTAGTGAAATAAACATTCGAAATAAGATATAATAATTCAATTGTATTTTATGTCACTCTTAGCCTTTATGTTATAATTGTCTGAAACTATTATCATGACCAAATTAAACAGGGAAAGGAAAAAATGCACACCCCACGTAGATAACCAAGAATGGAATCAGTGGAGAATCAATATCTTTATCAGTTCTGTTGGACCTCACACAAAACATAACAGAAAGAAATATCAATCACTCCTCCATACTCAGTAAAAATTCTGTCTCCGACACACCCTGTTCGAAACAAAACAATCCTTTCTCTTAAACCAACGTAATCATCAGTTCTAAAACAATCCAAAAACACAACCAAATCAACATCTTAATATAGTGCAGCAAGAAACAATTGAGATGAACTTGTCTGTACATCTATTAAAGACTAATCCAATAATAAAAATACATAAATTAATAGCATGTCCATTGAATAAACATAAACAAATATCAAACAATTAATACCATCCAATGGAAATATATAAAACAGAAGAATTCTACTCAGAATATTACTTTTTTTATTCTATGTTTATTAACAAAATATAAATAAGCAACTGCAACATTTTCTATCATACTACTTAATTTATATCGAATAATAACATATAAGTTCTTACTAATCATATTGTAACATTATAATAAATAAAAATAACTTTCCTGGATCTACATAACAAATGGATAAGTATCTTGATTAGGAAAAGTGTTCGCAATTTTCTCAACTTCATCCCTAGATATGCCATCTTTCTCGTACATCCTTTGAACAATATTCAGTTGATATTCACAGTTGATAGCAACAATAACTGAATAATGATTTCATATCGGTCTAGGGGGTTCAAGACCTATACAAATTTAATTGTGCATTGTCTGCATAGGCCATATGTAACTACAGTTTTAACTGTGCATTGTCTGCATTGAAATTGAAATTGAAGAAAGAAGATTACTTGAGATAGGATTTTGTCTTCTTGTTCTTCCCGTTCGTTTTCATCTTCTACGTCTTCTTTGACTTTTATAACTTCATCCCACCACTGCTTCGTTTCTGTTAACTGTTACCGCATCCTTTTAAGCTTCTACAATCACCAACTACCCCACAAAAATATACATAAAAACAAAGAAAAGTTGTGATTCCAAATAAATAAAAAAAGATTAAATTTTTTTAAAGAAACACAAGTTCTGCAATAATCCCACCACGTACCATTGAATCATCAGGAATATTTTCTTCAGAGTTCAAACAGCCAACAACTGTTTACTGATGAAAATGGAACCAAGAGAAACCGATCGAAATCGACTAACCAAGCATCACATAAATAGATTACAAATTCCATAACAAGCTAATGGACATCAATATTTATCTCTGTCTGTCAACATTATTCAGCACAAGGTTTCACACGAGTCAATTTAAGTTTTATTTTACCAATCTTCATCAGCGATACACTTGTTGCTCTTTTACTATGAATACAAACCAACATTGTTTGATCATTATAGAAATTTTAACCTGGGAGTATAGTGTTTTATGGCAATTCATACCTTTATAGATATTTGATTTCTTAGTTCCAGCACCAGCGCCCTTGCGCTTCAACCTAACAAACAAAAGCGAGCACGAGATCAAAAACATTAGATCGGAAAAAACGAAAATAATTGAAACTTCCTAATCTAATAATACAGTTCGTTTGAGAAACCTTCACATTAACTTCTCTATTTTTCCAACAAATAAAATGTCCTTATAAAAGAGTTTAAGCATAGAACCTTTAAAGCCTTTGGAAGAGCCAGAGGTGATTGTTGCAAGAGAACTGTATCAGGGTTCAGTTTTGAATACAAATCATAACAGCATGAAGCTAGATTAGCCCATATGAGGTTGCTACTCTCTTCTCCCGTTTGATGTTTACCATTTACATTTTTGGTAGTAGACACAAAACCAAGCTCATTAGTTGCAAGTAATGCCACGTCTATGCTTACTTCTGTATACTCTTTAATTTCAATTCCATTCTCCTCTAAATGAGTTTTTACCTGGCACAAGACATAATTTTCAATAAGTTGTATTTCCAAATTAGCACATCCTAATCTAAAGATACTAAGATCATAAATGAGACTACTCGAACTGACCTCAATAGACACCTTTTGTTTGTCCATATAAATTAAGGCGGAATCGAAGGATGTCACAATAGCAAATGGGTGAGCGGCGGGACAGTACGCCACATCATTTCCACGTACAGCCAAGAAACCTGTATTTAGTGACATCGAATAAAATGAAGAAAAAATCTTTAAAAGGATGAACATTTAAGGAAGAAAATACCTTCTGATTAAAAACAAAAATTCATCGGAAAGAAACAAAAATGATGGACTATTAAGAGGATACACTCACTTCATCGAGTGCTGTTACAACTAATCTTTGAGCATGCTCCTCATGTTCATTTTGAAGGAGTTCAATGGAAATCCAATGAGTAAGCACAAACAACCTTTGTCCCAATATGAAAAATCACTAATTATCAGGCCATATCACATCTTGAAATAGAATAAAGAAAGCCACTCAAAAGGGCATAGCAGTTTGAAGATAGCTAAAGTAAGTTCTGCATTACTGCATTTAGATCGAACTCTGAATCCAAAAGGTGCAGATAAGTTGAGGTCAGAGAGTGTTGTTGATCCACAATGCAGTGATCTTAAACAGAAAGAAAAGTAGTTTGTGGAAGGAAACATTCGAAACCGGAAAATGTTCAAGAGAATGCATCAATGTTGGTGTTCTAGATTGGTTTCGACCCGAAAAATGGAAGCACAACCATATATGCTCCATTTTCAAGTTCATTGCACATCTTAACCTACAAGCAAATACAAGTCGGGTCATTCAGGCTCACATTGGCACGAGTCATAAACATTGCATTATTCTTACGAATGCACATTTTCACAGATTCAGCAACACATAAATATTCATAAATCAATTCATGAAGAAAAATTGAAGACAAATGGTAAACTTTTAAGATTATACAAAAAAGAAAGTGGTGTTACATACTTCTGCCATAACTCGTTCGTCCTCAGAGCAAGAAATCTAGATAGCATGAGAGACAAACCATGCAATTGGCTGCAAAAAGATTACAACTACAAAATAAACGAAAAAAAGGAAAGAATTCAAGAATGAATAAAGAGGAAATTAATGGAATATCAAATGTTCCACCTATAACATATTCCAGCATCATTCTTTGTTCCTGTTTTCCACCAGAATCGTCTCTGGATGAATTATTATTATCAGCTGGTGGTTTATCTTGACTGGCAGTACGAGATAAAAGTTTATGATACAACGTAAATGACCTATTACCATAACCTTGATTCCAAATTTACCATGCTTCCTAAACGGTAGTTACACATCATTGATTTGAGACATATTTATGAAACTAAAAACATTTTAATTAGTAAAAATAAAAAGAAAATGAAAAATAACCTTTCAAATTAATTGGTAATCCGGAAATTGGGCAATGAGAGGATGCCAGGGTCTGATACAACACCAAGATCAAACTCAAACCGTTAGCGATAGGTGTTGACAATAAAGTCACCCTTTGAAAAGCGCATTTCCTTTTCTGATTCAGCCTCATAAGGATTCATTTCTTGTAAAAGATGCACCATGCACCAAAGATCAATTGATGAAGAAAATATTTACACGAGTTATTTGTTCATACAAGGCATGATTCACATTGTTAGAACCATCTGATTCTACAAAACAAGGAGTGAAATTAATCAGTGGGATCACAAAAAATAAACAATTAAAAATAGAGAGAGAAGTTAATAAGTTTATGATAAGGATTTGAATGATAATAATCATGATCTTAAGAATAATGTCATAAATGGCATTATAATGATAATGAGAATAAGAACCATCGTCAATAACAAAAATAACCACAAAAACACAAAAGTCTTCTCTGATTCAACCTAAAATAATCATAAGCACAATCTTTAAAATCAGTCAGAACTAACTACATGGTTGACATGGGTTGATATAATAATAATTAAGTATTATCTTACCAATGCAGCCGAGCTACTTTACCTATAATTGTCATTTTTGCTTTCAGCTTCAGCATCTTAGCTTATGCAGCATGTTGTTTGGCAACATGCTCAGTAGTTTGAGATTCGCTGACACGTGCTTGTCATCTAGTAATCTCCTCTTTCTAAATGATTTTGAAAACCAATTTGACTAATAAGATTCATAAGAAATAAAAACACTAAACAATGAAATAAAACCATTGCACCTACTATTCTCAATGAAATCACATGTTTCTTTAATTTGAAATGCAGAATCGAAAAAATTAAATTTGAATAAGAAGAACTCTTATTCATGACAAAATCAGAGTTGAGAAATTTCTCCTTCATTCCTCCTTCTCCATCCAAACAAACACCAACCACACTCTTCCACAGCTTTTTTCTGATCCACGACCACAAACCGTCGGAAACCACTTCAAACACTCACCTAAAAACTATAAACAGCAGAAAGAGAAAAACGAATATCAACAACATCCACGTAGAGAAAAACAAATATAGAACAATGCAGAGAACATCCTTCAAAGAAGAATCAGAAATAATACCGAAAATAAAGAACAGTTAGTGACGAAATAGAATCAATAACAACGTGACTGAGAAATAAACCATAGCCAAACAAACCATAAATATTAGGGGTTAGAGAACCTGAATGGATACAAATTGATTTGAATGTATCATTCCAATAGCAACGGCAAGATAGACTATAAATCAAGTATCTTCACTTAAATTAGATATATGTAAATCAAGCAAACTAACAAAAGAAACTGAACCTGCAGTACTTTGTAATTTCCAACTTTAACTGACTTTCACCTCTCAAAGCTTTTGTGTCATGCTTATCATATCCATTCTCATTGAAAAATTTGGTGCTACCTAGCTGTTCTTTGAAAAAGACTTAATTTCAACGGCAATCCTCTGAAGATAGAAAATATTGAGAACAAAAATCTGCAACAGTAGCCCTATTCCCCTTTCCAAAATCAACTGTGAGGATCGCTTCAATCACATCTAAACCGCGGCCACAACCACCGTAGCCCTATTCCCCTTTTTGATTTCATGTTCTTCTTTGATAAAGAATCTACCACTTTCAAACCGCCCATTACCGTGAAGAGGAAGAAGGAAGATGAGGAGGAAGAAGTTTGAAAGAAAAATAGTTGTTACAACATTGAAATGCTCCCTCAATGCCATGACTGATAAAAACGTAACTGCCATAGGGAGATAGTGGAATGAGGAGAAGTGGAAACGAACGGTAGTGTAACCGAAAATTTTAAGGTTCGATGAAATAAGGAATAGGGAGAAAGGAATTAGTTATGGAAGAAAATTTTAGTTAGAACAAAAATTTGGTTTGCCTAACACACATGAAGTCACATGTTGTGTTTTTAGAACAAAAAGACAAAACAAGGTTTTTGGGTAGATTGAGTTTTCTTATATTATAGATTAAAACAAAATATTATCTTGATATACAATCTAGTAAGTGATGGATCTTGTCTAAAATATTAGGGAGAGCTGTAAATATTAATTAAATAACTTTTAATGAATAAACATATCTATTACTAACAATATTAAGCATCAAAAGTATTACTTTTTAAGGTTTAATATGTGTTGTCTCCCTGCCATTACAGCGAGTTTTATTTTCACCTCTTATAAGAATATTTTTTGTGATCATTCCCCTACAAAATTCAGATTCCATTTCAAGACACCCTATTGTCACTATGTGCAATAAAATCTTTCTAGGTGACATGTAAAAGTTGGGTGACTGGAGAAAATTTGTTTTATCTAATACCACATTATAATTTAGTGAATAAAATAAATCAGAAAACATTTATCCGTCCTGTAGAGGGGAAAATTTGAGATCAAATCATTGATTGACTTAACCCATACAGTAAAAACCGTCACCGCGCTTTATTATTTCCAAGAGAATGGGAAAAGAGCGAAATAAAACCCATAAATTTGCAAAGTAAAAGCAACACTGAAAGTAAAGCAAAAACAATGCATTTAAATAGATCTAAGATACAGGGGTTGATTATGCAAAGGGAAAGTGTTAACACCCAATGCATCTGTAGTACTCTATAGGAACCTCTTGAAATATTTGTGTATTTTTGCTAAAAAATATTGTTTGCTAAAAGAGTGGGCTTTAAGGATCAAACATAAAACAATGATGGTACAAGGAAGCAACAAACATACAAGTCAAGACTAAAACAAGACAAAATAGTCGACAAACATATATGTCAAGATTAAAACATGATAAAATAGTCAACAAAAACAATCTCTTCCCTTAGATTAAAACACAGAGACCATAGACATAACATTCATAAAAAAAATAGCAATGTAAAACCAAATAATCGTAAGAAAACTAAACAATGAAATGGTTAACACAAAATCAATTAAGTTAATTGAAAATATTTAATAAAACTGTAGTCAATTAAATAAAATGAGTTAACAAAATTAATTATTATTAACAAATAGAAACAAAATAATTAACAATTAACAAAGAAATAAACCAAAACAATTAACATAAAAAATAAAACAAAAGAAATTAATATTAACCAAATATCAAAATGAAACAATTAAAAAATACACAAGTGAAAATCAAAGAAATAAATATGAAATAAACAAAATGAATGAGCCAGGAGGTAACATAAGCAGGGGGGTATGAGCAAGTAATTCGTGTGGACTAGAAAGAGAGCCCGATAACATAACATAATTAGTAAAACAAAAACAAAAACTAAAAACAAATTGGGTTGCACACAAGGGAATTCAAAATTGGGCTGGAGGAAAACAAATAAAGGCTAAATCCAAAAATACAATACAATAAAATCCTAGTTACCATCTTAGCCGTTGCACTCTTATTGTTGGGAAAATGTCCACTTAATTTCCCATTGAATGTTAATTAAAAAGACAATATTAGAAACAAAAGAAATACATGATTCCTTCTAAAGTTCTCATGTTCTCTTCCCTCTGCGCTCAACAACAACAACAATCATACTCTTCTCAATATTCTCTTTTTTGTTGCACATACAACCAATAAAACTTTCTTAAACATCATTCACACAAACAAAATCAAATATTACTAAGTGAAACAAGATCAATGAAAATGGGTTACCGACGATGAGTTAGGTAATGGCACACGAATGTGAGCAGAGATGGTGCAACTCACGGTAGGTAATGGCTTCTGCCCGTTCGGAGTCTCACGAACGAGGGCCGCACTTACGGCCTCGGCGGAGACGGCCAGGTAAAGGAAAAGGGTTTCCCCGTCCTCGGGTCGCGACAGCACAGGCGGTTGCGAAAGGCTTTGCTTGAGATGAAGGAGGACTTTCTCGCATTCCTCAGTCCACTCGAAGGCTGCCTCTTTGCGCAGAAGATTGAAAAATGGAAGAGCGTGTTGCACAGATTTCGGCACAAATCGGGAGGGCGATGTGAGCATGCCGTTTAAGACTTGTATATATTTCTTCGAGCTAGGTGTAGGGAACTCAGAGAATGCCTGGAATTTGTCAGGGTTGGCTTCAATTCCCCGTTCTGTTAGATAAAAACCGAGGAATTGCCCGCCTTAACCCCGAAGGTTCATTTCTCAGGGTTGAACCTCATTCTGCATTGTCTCGCTTGGGCAAAGACCTTTCTGAGATGGGAAGCATGGTTGGTATTTGCTCGGGATTTTATGATCATGTCGTTCATGTATACCTCGAGCATATCTGAGATCTCGTTGCGGAAGACTTTATTCATCATCCGCTGGTACGTTGCCCCTGCATTTTTCAGGATGAAGGGCATTACGTTGTAGTAGTAATTGCTTGAGCTGGTCATGAAAGCAGTGCAATGCTTATCGCTCATCGCCATTGGGATTTGGTTATAGCCCGAGTAGGCGTCCATAAATGATAAAATTTTATAGCCGGCCGAATTTTCGACCAGCATATCAATATTAGGTAAAGGAAAAGCGTCTTTAGGATATGCCCGGTTAAGATCAATATAGTCAACACACATTCTCCATTTTCCATTATTTTTCTTAACAAGTACAACATTTTAGAGACAGGTTGAATATCGGGCCTCGGAAATAAAATTAGCCTCTAGGAGGTCTTTTACAGCATTTTCAGTAGCCTCTACTTTCTTGGGAGACTGCCCACGTCTAAGTTGTACTATTGCCCTAACGGCTGGATCAATGCCAAGTGGTGACAGGAGACCGTGGGGTCTAGTCCAGGCATCTCCGAAGTGCTCCACATGAACAGGTCTGCATTCTCCCGCAAGCAAACTTTGATCTGCTTCCTCCCCAGGTCGGGGAGTCTGGTACCGATCTTCACGCCTTTGTGAGGGTCTTCACCGAGGGGGACGAACTCGAAGTATCCGTCCAAGATTGGTCGGAGGAGTTCCTGTTCGCCATTGGGTGCTTCATCCTTGTCGAAGCGGGTGTCAAATGAGATGGAGTCGACCTTGGGTGGAGCTCTTTGTTCTTCTGTCTTGACGGGCTATGGCTCAGGTCGAGCAGTAGCAGCTCTCTTAGCAGGCCGTGCCCCAGTGTCGACCATGCTCTGTCCCTTTGAAGCTGCGCTGAAACATCTTTGGGCAGCTGAGATATCTCCGTGGATGGTGGCGACGCGTCCCCTCTTCATGTAGAACTTCATCTTTAGATGGACGATGGAGGGGACATCAGTCAATCCGGCCAGTGTTGGTCTCCCTAGGATGCAGTTGTAGAGAGACGGGCAATTGATGACCAGAAATCGCACCTTGATCTATCGGGAAGAGATTTCCTCCCCGAAGGTGATGAAGAGATCCACGTACCCCCATGGTTTAGAGGTCGAGCCATTGAAGACTTGCAGGTCGGACCCCACGTATGATGAAAGGTGGGTGTCGTCGAGCTGCAAGGTTCGGAACATATGGTTGTACATAACATCGACGGAACTCCCTTCGTCGACCAAGACACGGTGAACATAGAAATTATCCATTCTTGCTCTTTCCAAAAGATGGATGCTCGAGTTAGGGGGCCCTTCGGGCAACTCTTTGAGGTAGAACATGATCGGTTCTGATCTGCCCTTGACCTTCTCGAATGTCACCGCTTGAGTCGGGGCTGCATCGACCAATTCGTCGAGCTTCCTCTTTGCATAGTTTATAGAGATGTGGTTGAACCCCCCGCCAATTATAACCATGGCGGGGGGGGGAATTTTTCCCACCTACTGTTCCTGGACAGAGGTTCTTCTTCGTGTCTATCAAGGACGTAGAAGTCCTTCGGCCTTGTAACGGAGAAGGCTGTTTGGATGGGGGCCATTTCATTCGATGGTCGGGTGTCTTCCTTGACCTCTTTTGTCTCGTGGGCATCCTGATGAGGGGCGTCATTGCATCGATATTTCCCGATTCTTCCACCCTTGATGAGGGTTTCAATGGCGTCTTTGATGTGGGCGCAATCTTCAGTCAGATGCCCGTGGCTCCGGTGGTATTGACAATATTTGCTTCGGTCAGCCCCGGGCTTCGCAGGAGCAGGTTGAGGACGTCTGACTCCTCCTTCCTTGAAGTCGGTATTGGAACACTCTGCTAGGATGCACTAGCGGGAAGAGGTCAACAGAGTGTATTCAGAGAATCTCCTGTGGGACCCCTATGCTCGCAGGAATCACGAGGCTTATCGTCCCTTCTCTTCTCGCCTGTTCATCAAAGAAGTCCTGCGTCCTGGTGTCGCGAGGCCGTGGTTGGTCCGTGGTTCCTTGGGTCGCGGGCTTTGTTGGCCTCTTCTCTCTCCTCATAGTCCATGTAGGCTTTAGCCTTTTCAAGGAGAGCATCAAATGTCTGGGGTGGTTCGATGCCAACGACATTCCTGAACTCCGTGCCCGGGAAGAGTCCTCTTTCGAGAAAATATCTCTTCATGTGATCGGTGCGCGGGACCTGAATGGCCTCGCAGTTGAACCGATCAATAAACTCCCTGAGGGTTTCGTCGCTCCTTTGGACGACAGCCTCAAGGGCGGCCTCAATCTTCGGGTGTCGACGAGACGCTGTAAATGAGCTGATGAACGGGTTCTTCAGGTTCCTCTAGGAGGTGATCGACCTAGGAAGAGATTTTTATACCAGCCCATTGCAGTTTTCCTCAAGGTCGTGGGGAACAACTGGCACTTGATTGGCCCCGCGGCATTATGATAATGGAGCACTGCTTCAAACCGGTCGATATGGTCGACTGGGTCAGCAATGCCATCATATTCCTTCAGTTGAGGAGGCTTCTCCATTCCCCTGGAAATGGGAGC